GGAGTTGGGAAGTAGCCAGGCTGTTGTCATTGATGGGGATATTGAAGTCCCGAGGATGATGGTTGGTAGCTCAGAGGAGAGGAAGAAGGGAAGCCAGGCAGCGAAGTCATCCAGGAAGCGGGGTATGGATCCGGGCGGCCTGTAGATCACTGCGATCCTTAGGGGGGTGGGGGTGAAGAGCCGGATACAGTGAGCCTCGAAGGAGGAGAAGGTTAGGGAGGGAGGATTAGGGAGGACCTGGAAGGTGCTCAGCGGTGATAGGAGCAGGCCGACCCCACCACCTTTGTGACCGCTCAGTCTTGGTGAATGGGACCAGACGAGACCTCCATGATAGTTGCCAATTCTGCCCCTGGCTGTACCTCCCCCAAAGGAATGCCTAAATTTATACTGAGTTGGGTGGGGGGTATTGCCAATTAATCAATTAGGAATGCATAGGAGAGACACATGGCTAGCAGGGCAAACTTCTCACACCAAAGGAGGACTACAAGGAGACAACAACAAAGAGAGCATGAGTGCAGAATTGTAAAGATTAGGATCAGCTCATAAATTTGGGTTAGATATATTAAGAGCAAAATAAACACCACAGTAATATGGACAGAGTTAAAGATTTTGGAAGCAGTAAGAATTACCAATAGGAACATTGATAGTTATGAATCAGCTTCAGTTAGAGATGGATTTTAAAAGCAGTATAGATTACCATATGACACAGCAGGGTGAATTAGCATTCATTCATGGCATGGGCGATAGTACAGATGGATATTGCTTGTAGACATTTACTTTATCCAAGATGATGATAGTTGCCAATGCTACCCTGGCTGTGTTGCCCCTGGCTGATATAGGTACTTATAGGTACTTAAATAGCGCCCTCGATTTACACAGCGCTTTACACATATATATTGTACATTCACATCAGTCCCTGCCCTCAAGGAACTTACAATCTAAGGTCCCCAACTCACGATCATACATACACGTACCTACTAGGACCAATTTAGATAGGATCCACTTAACCTACCAACATGTCTTTGGTGTGTGGGAGGACACTGGAGTACCTAGAGGAAACCCGTGCATTTTGTTTTTGGATCCACTGTTTTATAAGAAAAAAAATGTGTTCCATAAAGTTTTTCAACCCTAAATCAATGATGACTTTTGCAGACAACTTCCTCAATGCTGTGCGTCCCAGTCAACACAATGCACTCATAAAGTGATCCAGCGCAAATAATAAAAATAATAAAAATGTGAAAAAATATATATTAAAGTCCAACAAAAGTCCCCAATTAAAGTCCAATGTCCCAAAAATTTGTGAAAAAAAACTCAAACTTCATAAATGTTCCAGCATGCTCACATTTTTAGTGAAAAAAAAAACATTTATACCAAAACTCACCCAAATACTGTGAATTCTCGAACTAATATAGCTTTAAGAGACAAAAAGACAAGCCTGCAGGTGGGGTGTGGTATCCTCAGTTTGTAATATACTTAAGCGATTTCTCACTGACTTTCCTTCCCAGATATTTCCACATATTGCAATAAAAAACATAAAAGAAAAGATGCCAATGGTATATTACTGTATACCAATAAAAAAAAAATATATATATAGTCACGGTTCACCCACACGCCACGCCCCCAGCGACTAGCTAACCGAGGCACGCACCTGCGGCTGTGACTTGGGGTAAGAGGGGAATAAAGGGGACTTAACTTTGAAATATATAAAACTGTATATAAGATGACACCGACCGGGATACACTTTCACAGCCCACACTACCTCTTGGCTACCACCAGAGGGAGACTCCACTCCAATCCAGATGGCTAACCACACACACAGGCAGACACGAATCTTATATACAATCTGGTGCACTAATTAGAGTTGAGGAGCAGCTTCGCAATCACACACCCTTCTAGGAGCCTTCCAGCTACCTACATGCCAGGACCCCGTTGTCAATCACTCTTCCACTGTCCACAGCCCCCCCAACCCCCCTCCCCCCTCAAACCAGACACACCGCAAACGGTAGCTTGCCACCACCCAACAGTTTATCCGCAGAATGGTCTGCTGGGACACCCCACACACACAAATCTCCGTCTGGCAGACCTGTTACCTTTACAATCTGCACGCAATCTGCCAACACGCTGTGCAATTGCATACAGATTGGCAATGAGCTTGAACGAGTGTATAAAGACATGAAAATACAATACAATCTAATCTCTCCGGAGATATGAGCCCGCTTAAATACACAGAAGCCACTTATTAATGTTAAGATTTAATATCCTGAAAGTGGGCAGTGCATAAAATGTGTACAAAGTATAAAAAGTTACAAAAAATACAAGAAGACACACATAGACTATTCACTATAAAAAAAAAAGGGAATAAAAACAGAATAAAACTTTTACCCAGATTTATCCTGCGACTGGAGCAAGTCAGAGAGTCAGCAATCCGTCAGTGAAATCGAACCCCCTCTATACGAATCACCCTGTCCATATCTCCAGTCCTCAATTTATGGGAATATTGACGTAGGCTAAACATGAGTCCTGGGGCCAATTGCCTCTGGGGGGGTGTTCCTGTACCCGCCCACAGGATGTTCTGGGTGCTGACCTGCCCAAAGGCAATCGGACCAAGACCGGCATGAATCACCAAGTCGGGGATTGAATTTCCGACACCAGCGCATCAGTCGGATCGCGACAGTACCAATCACTGTTCCGCTATCGCACTCCAGCACCACATAACCATTTCCTGCATTTTCCTGCCACTCTACATAGGCCACAAGTATAGTTTTTATATGCCGATGCAGCCCACAGAGTGCCCCATCAGAAGGAAGTATTTTCATCATCTCTCTGCAACTAATATTTTAGCTTGTATGAGGGATGAAACATACTCCTTTGATGTATGTATATACTTTAAAGCTCTGGTCTCCTGCTGTCATGAAGCCAACCTGTCTCCAGCCGTTTCCTCTTTTACTTCAGGAAGGTGGTAAATTCTGATTATAGACAAATCTTATTGGCACTTAGGTGTCACATCCAGAGGAAGCTAGATCACTTCAGATGCTAATTAGTGACCATCTGTCTCTGAATACCTCTGACTGAATATTTCTTTAATGACAAGGCATGCAACTACATTTACGATTACATATTGCTACAGGTCACATCTTATCTAGTCAAATCTGTACATTTATGTCACATTTATGTCACATATATATAAAGTGCCATTAAAAAAAGCTTCCTTACACTCACATAAGGTGGTTAAACACCAATTTTCATGGAATCCTATGCCTCCCAAATCACAGATGATGATCCATCCTTATCCATCCATCCGTCCATCCATTATTGAGAGCTTGGAGGAAGTTAAGGGTAATTTTGACCAGCTTGTAACTCTCAAGCCTTCGCTAATGATTCTTCCTTTACTTTACCCCAAATTCATTCTCATGGATGAGTGGATGAAAAATGCAAAAGAAAAGATACCAAAATAGCGTAATACTGTTAAAAAAAAACTTTAATACTGAAGCGATGCTCCAAATGCACTCACATTTTAAAATTGAATATAAAGCCTTTTTGTAAATAAATCAGGACTCCTTAAACTTGTTCCAATAGCCCTTCTGACAATTCCAGCTAGGCAGACACAATTGATCAGCTTTGGCATTGAAGAACTGGCAAAATTGTAGAATCAGATCTCTTTGCCCACACTAAAGATGGCCACGGAACACCGCATCAGCGTGCGTTCCACTCACTGGATATGATGTCACACGTACAGGATCGGAACCGGAAGTTTTATATCATTATATGTGGAAATATCTGGGAAGGAGAGTCAGTGAGAAATGGCTTAAGATTATTACAACTTCTGAGGATACCACACCCCACCCTGCAGGCTTGTATGTTTGTCTCTTAAAGCTATATTAGATCAAGAATTCACAGTATTTGGTGAATGTGGATCAAATTTTTTTTTTCCACTGAAGATATGAGCACGCTGGGAAATTTATGAAGTTTGAGTTACAGTTTTATTAAAAAAGTTTTTCACAAAATTTTGGGACATTGGACTTTAATTTGGGACTTTTGTTGGACTTTAATATATATTTTTTCACAATTTTATTATTTGTATTATTTGCGCTGTATCACTTTGAGTATATTTTGATGTTTAATTTCAGAACAGCAGCATTTATTTTAATTCATTGTCTATTGCTTTGGCGCAAGTTTTCTATATATTTATATGCACACAATGCAGTCTGTTCCAATACAGAATCAACCTGGTATCTACTTTTCTTGATTTGAAGAAGGTGATGTTTACTGCTTTTAAAGGCTTCACAGCTTTCATTGCATGTTCTACTACATTTCACAGCCAGAAAAAACAAGACCTATGATGTGATAATTTGTAAGTTTAATGGTAAACCATGTGCTGGCTGAATTTTACAGGGTCGACACAGGCTACAGCCTAAACATAAGTACAAAACACTTGTTCTAAGGAACTTTCATATTGAAAAGTCTACAAAGGTTGTCATTTCCAAGAATGAGGAATGATTGGCCCTATCTGGCCTCAGTATTTTGCTACTGACACAGAGCAAGCATGCAGTAAGTGAAACTATGTTTCTGAACTGTTTATTATTATTATTATTATTATTATACAGTATTGTTTCAAGTCAGTGGCTCTGACTGCTGAAGTTGGAAGATCGGTATACCTGCTTGCCAGGCAACTAACATTTTTAGAAAGTGAGGTCACTAGTGGCAGCCTGTATGTTTCTATCAGCCAGTGTCATTTATCATCAAAACACTTTGTAACCTCCTAATATAAATACAATACACGAGTTCTGTTTGGAATCATCCTTTAACTACCTCCCACCTGCCATATAGTCCAATGACGGGTGCAAGGTGGTTCTCTCGTTCTGGGAGGACGTCCTATGACGTCCTCCCATCCTCACCGCGCATGCGTGGCTCAGGGACTGACAGCTCGAGAGGAGAGGAAAGCCGGTGATCGGCATTCCGCGGAGGGGACATGTACACTGATCATCAGGGCACTGATGATCAGTGTGGCCCCAGAAGTGCCAGCTGTCAGTGACCATCAGTGCCACATGCCAGTGCTGAACAGTGCCACATGCCAGTGCCCATCAGTGCCACATCAATGCCACATATCAGTGCCTACCAGTGCACATCAATGCCACATATCAGTGCCCATCTGAGCTGTCTTTCAGTGTCACCCATCAGTGCCAGTCAGTGCCATCTATCAATGCCAGTCAGTGCCACCTATCAGTGCTGCCAATTAGTGCCACCTATCAGTGCCAGTCAGTGCCGCCTAACAGTGCCAGTCAGTGCCGCCTATCAGTGCCATATATCAGTGCTGCCTTTCAGTGCCCATAAGTGATGACTGTCAATGCCTATCAGTGCCACCTACCAGTGCCTCCTCATCAGTGCCCATCCCCTATCAGTGTCACCTGATATTTTCATATGGGTACAGTGTTGCATGACCTCGCAATTGTCATTCAAAGTGTGACAGTGCTGAGAGCTGGAAATTGGCCTAGGCAGGAAGGGGGTATACAAGCCCTGTAGGCTAGCGGTTCATTTATAGTTAAACCATGCAAGGCAGTTCTCTGCTAGCCACAGATCTAGGGACACATAATCAAAATTTAGCAAAGGATAGACTTGTGTGATCTGCAGAGACTCATACAGTTCTTGAATCTTGATTGAGTTTCATAAATCTTTCATTCAGTGCACAAGTTGGTAAATTGTATTTACCAAAAAAAGAGAATCGTCATCGCCTTCCTACATTGCTGATTATCTCTTACGTTCCTGGGTCTTCCTCCTACTGACCACAGAAGGTGTGAAGACTGTCTGCCCTCATTTGATGTTTAAAGCAATTCTGTCAGGTGACATAAAAATCAAGATGAAAGTTTCCTGCAAAAAGAGCCATGCCCATATTTACACATGTATACCTGTATATAGCCGCATTGCTTCCACTTTCAATAATTTGTATTAGAAATACATTTTCAAAAAAGTGACAAAGTCATCCACATTTAATTGGTTTACAACAGGGGTCCCCTAAACTTTCCAAGCAAAGGGCTAGCTTATTGTCCTTCAGGCTTTAGGGGGCACGGCGATAGTAGAAAATGCCCCGGCTTCAGTGCTCCATCATTGGTTTGAATGGACGGAATATTGCCCCATTGATGGTGTCAATAGGGGGAATTGTGCTCATTGGTGTCGGTTGGTGGAAAAGTGCTCTAAGGGCCAGATGAGGGCAAGCAAAGGGCCACATCTGGCCCCCAGGCTGCAGTTTGCAGACCACTGGTTTGCAATAAAGAATGTTAAGATAAGACCATGTGTTTGTCTTCATTGGTAGCTAGTCAAGTGAAAACACTGACAAGTATTGAGAAAGTGGTGAAAAGTAGGGTCTGGTTAATAGAATAGAGAGAATAGGTTAGATAGAAAAGAAGAGAACAAGGAGAGCCCAAAATAGGAAGTAACGCTTTCAGGCTAAAGCAAAGCATGGGAGTATTGGTTCCAAGTGGACCTCGAATCAAGAATTTCTTATGGGCATCCATGAATATCCTTGTATGTTTCTCTTTTACAAAAAAATTTGCGGTTTTAAAGAAATGAGTACAGTTGGTGTGTGAATAAAGATTACAATAAAGTAATAACGGTAACAATAAGCATGAGTATTGTAAATTGCGATATCATAACTGTGCTTGCAGTTACAAAAAAGTAAAGCATGACGCTCGCTGGCAGACTGGCATCAAAACTGTTCCAAGGGGTGGGAGGTAGAAGTAAGCATGGTATGTTACAGGGGATTAGGAGAAGGAGTCCAAAGGAAGAACTCTACACTTGCCATCCAGGTAGGATAATGAAAAGTATAGGCGTTGGCAGATTTCCGATGAGATAGCCGAATACCATATAAAGAATTTTTAGAACATTGAGACCAGAGGCCCAATAATGCCGCTTATGAGTTTCTCATTAGCGAAGGTAATATCCATGTTTTTCTTGACCTGTAATTGCAATTTTGGGTGGCTGATCGCAGCAGCAGTGTCTCCCAGGAAAGATTTTTCTCTGGTTCTGTACGCTCTTGCACGCTATACGGTCCCCATGTGGCAGTATGGATGAGCCCTTACATTTTGGATTTCCCTTCACTCTCTGTGCTCATTACAATAGTTACCAGGACTGTTAGAGGAGTGAATGTCCCCAGTGGGGGACACAGACAGCAATAAAAAGGTAAAACCCTTCTGCGTACTATTGAAAATGTAAAAAAATAAATAAATACATTGCCTTTTTGTAAAATAAAAGACTTCTCATTCTGAATATGTTGGTTTCCTTGCAGTCATGCTGACACTTTGACATCAATACCATGAGTCACTCATTAAGAACACGTATGCTGAAAAGGACTGCTGATTTCACATTGACATTCCTGCTATGTATACTGATTACAGGTCAGCAACCCAGAAATTACTGAAGCCAGAAGGTCAGAAAGAGCTTGAGCACTTTTCAAGAAGTGGTAAAAAAATGGCAGCTCCCATATTTGCCTTAGAAAACATTTACTTAAAGTGGTTGTACACCTCAGACATGAAATATAAACAAAGCATATCCCTCTATAGTGTGTACTTGTCTTAAGCCAGAGCACTAAGTGTAATTTCAATCTGCTGCCTCATTTCTCTGCTATCTGCATGAGTCACTTCTGAAAATTTTTCCTGACACCAAGAAAAAAAATGGCGACAGGGGAGGGAACTCCAGCAGATTGACAGCCTCAGCTCTGTTCCTCTTCCTTCCAATCAGTTCTCAGAGATCTCCTCATTGAGCTCTGCAGTGTGTAATTTCAGCTCTCTTGTCTGAACTCCTATGCAGGCCATAGACAGGTCGTTTATTGGCCAAATTTTCGTCTGCATGAAAAATCGTCCAAAATTCACGCCGTTAGTGGGGCCAGCCCGTCGGCCATTTGTCGTGGATTTTCTCGTTCATTTTTCTCGGTCATGCTGGAAAATCCACGAAGCACAGCCGTTTTTCGTGGACATTGGTGGCAGCATTGGCAACGACCGATTTTTCATTTATCGACTGACAATTCGGCTGATAAACGGCCTGTCTATGGCCTGCATTAGACAAGCTTTATCAACTCTGAACTTTGTACCTTTTTATCTGCAGCCATCTCTCTCCTACATCCGTTCCAATTGTAGGAGGGTTTGTTTAATCTCTGTATATCACCTGAGGCCAGTCACTTCACTGGGCATACATAAGGGTTTACAACCACTTTAAGTTGCAACTAGTGTAATTCTCTAACTTTGACTTGCTATCAGCCTCCTGCAGAAGTCAGATTGTTAGAGGAGGGCCAACACTAGCAACCAATTGGGTGTGTTTTTTATGCACATATGCTGACAGGAAATTTGGTACCAGCAAAGTGAGCAGATGGTTGAACTCTTCCCTGTGCTGTTGTTGCTTCATTGTCCAGTCTTTAAGCTGGAGGTGTGTTTTGACCCCGTATTCTTAAGCAACCATGCTGCTGCAGTGTAGGTCAAGGATCTGGCTGCTCTCTGGTGGGGAGTACCTGGAACACAAGGCTCCCCAGAATGACAGATACTTTAGCAGGAACAGTGGCTCCTACAAATATATCTGAAATGTTTATATAGCTGCTTGCAGGAATTCAGCTTTAATAAAGCTGGTCTAGGTCCTGGACGTCCTTGGTCTAGGTCTCATACCTGTACTTGTTATGCAAACCATCGTTCACGTCTATCATGTATGCACACTTGTCCTTCTACCTCTCATTTCATATGTATGTCATTAGTATTCTCTGCGATCTCCCAGCTTGGCTGCTGTTCATCCCTCTCCCAAGGGTTCTGTCATTTCGCAGTTATTTCTGTCTGGAAGTTTAGAGATGATGGGAGGATCGGCATCAATTCTTGATTTTATTTGACAAGATCGGAGCAGACTTGTATTAAGGCGTCATATATCTGATGGTTATTGTCAGAAATCCCCCAGAACTGGTGCGGCTGAACAGATGCTAGGATAAATAATGAGATGATATATTCATGCCAGGTTAACCCTTTATATGGTTCATTAACCACTTCTGCAGGCTTCCTACCATTTCCATTCAATGTAAAATTTTTAAAGAATTTGGAGCCAAGACTGTTTTGCACAAAATATTTTGCTTTTAGGAATCCCAGGTATTTATCTTGAGTGTAATCAGTTTAGGTTTCTGAGTATAGGGTATCACTAAACTAATTTTTAGAAAATTGCTGACAGATAGGCTTTCTTATGACAAAAGTGGCTCTGTATGTCTCTCCCATTTTCTCCCTGCCTCTTCTGATTGTACAGTGAGCAGTGCTTGATCAGCTCAGTGTAAAATACCGGCAGTCTTGTGCCAGGATGGAGTAGGTAACTCCAATGCGCATACACAGGAGTTACATCATCAGGTTTGAGGTTCCAAACCCAGGAGAGGATCGAAGCACCAGTAATGTAGGGAAGTGCTGACATTGCACCACTGGAGGGGATTGCTTGCTAGGTAACTCTACCATGATGTACTAATATGTTGTGCATACTAACACATGATGGCAAAAAGCAAAAAATGTTTCATTTTTGGCATGGCAATCCACTTTAACCATTTCAGTATCAGCCTGTATAGCACCCTGTGAATACCAGACACGTTTTCTGACCACAGAAATACAGAAAGGGGCACCAAAACAAAACTGGATAAAAGAGTCCAATACAATTTGAATTGTTGCTTAAAAAGTCATATAAAATCAGTCAACGCGTTTCAGGGACAACACTACTCCTCTTTCATCAGGTCTGTACACAGGGTAAGACATGGATGGACTTACAGAAAACACACACAGTTCTATATTAGAACCAGTACTGAACTCTCCATATGGAATAACAACTTGACTGGAACTTTACAAGCTGAAACATGTTGGCTGTTTTTATATGACTTTTTTTTTAACCTACAATTAAAAACTATATTGGACTCTTTTGTCTGGCTGTGGTCGGACACTCATTTCTGTATTTCTGTGGTTTGAGCAACTATTGGGTACCCATCAAGGGAAGCCTTGCTGTGTGGGAACTGCCTCACCAGAGCTATTGAGCTTGTTAGACGTTTTCCTTAATCTGACTACACGTGCAAGTTTAAAAGTTTCAGCACCTCTTTGAGTATATTGTTCTGGAGGACAGTTTTCAGTGCTTTGATGGACAAAACGGAGCTTTCTTTTTGTGCTATTTAATAACCACTGTTTACAGTAGAAAGTTATAAACATTAGCAAATAAAAGAAAAACCCAGGATAGTACAAAATTACCCCATTTTAGAAAGTAGACATTCTAAGGTGATCTATTTTTTTGCTGCAGTTTTTTGGAAGAGAAGAAAAGGGCTGGTA